TCTCATTCACTTGGCCAAACTCAGGATTGATATGAAAGGAATAAGATGTTTGTTTGCAGAAGAGAACAGTCTGTCCAATGAATGGAATCAAGGTGAAAGTCATTTAGTATAAGCCAAAGGTTTTATTAACTTTTTATTAGTTATTAGTAATGTGTGCTCAAATTCTTGATGAAGAAATAATACCTTAGAATAAGTCCTTTTAATTCAAATGATTAATTAGTGTTATGTGTATCTAATTGTTTTCAAATAATTTGAAATCATATTTATATATGAAAATTCAAATAAGAAATTTACTCACAATAATTATATACTTAGAGTACCACGGGGTTGGAAAGAATCTTAGATATCATACAAAGCACCTTTTCCTCAACTAGGGCATCTTTTATATTGTGTCTCCCATGTGGAATCATGCAGGACCTTTGGATACTCCAGCCAGGAAAGATTTCACTATGAGGGCAGGGCTACAAAATCCATTTCTGAACAATGCTGTCCACCGCATAGATTTGCTTCATGAAATCTGTTCTTTCTCAATTATCACTAGATTTACCTTGTTCTATCTTCCAACAGTTTACAGGAAAAATTTATCTCAAAAATACAGTATGTTTTTATCACTAACCTAATGCCTTCATCCTTTATTTGACTTTACGTCCACGGAGGGCAGAACCACTTCTTTGCCATCCTATTGCCATGACCAGGCTGATAGATTTTCAGTTATTTGCTGAACTGAAATGAAAGATAGTTCTTTACATAATACTCTAATGTTATTGTCATAACCACATAACTACATACTGTCATAACGTATGAAAGCCATTTATTATCATTAACTATATTTTTCAAAATTCTGCTTTGATGTGAGAGTAAACTTCTTTCTCCCTTTCTCTCCTTTGAATTTGATGCCATAAATCTTATTTGTATTAATTGTGCCTTCCAGTTGCTAAACTATTCATATAGTTTGAGATGTTCTTAATTTTATCTTTTATTTAACTAAAGTTAAGTCATCTTTGGGAAACAGAGAGCTATACTCAATGTCTAAATTTGTGCTGGCTGATCCAGTAACCACTAGGCATATGGGCATACTGAGCACTTGAAATGCAGCTATTTCAAATCGAAATGTGTAGTAGGAGTAAAATGCACACCAGTTGTGAAGACTCAGAACACACACACAAAAAATGCATATCTTATCAATTTACATTGATTAATGTTCAAATAAAAATTTATTGGACATACTACATACATTCAATATATTATTGAAAGTGTTTATTTTTCCCTTTATAATGTGGCAATTAGAAAAGATAAAATTAAATATTTCATTTTTATTAGATAATTCTACTCTGGAAGAGTTATTGACAACACTTAACATGGAGAAATGGTCATGCTGTCTGTTGGCTTACAATAAATAATGCTGTTAAGAATTGTTAATAACCTTCGTTGTATGTTAACTCAAAGGATGTCTTTTCTCTGATAATCTAAGATTGCTTACCATAGTGCTAGGATCTGCATTAATCTATTTTGTTGAAGACGAAGCTCTTAAATTTCCTCTCTGATTTTAATCCGTCTTTTATTAAAGAAAAGTGGATAGAAACACTGTGCAAGCCTGTTTTTCCTTCATTCAGCATTATTATCAGCCATTCATTTCTTTGAATGATATTCATAGCTATGTTATCAGATAATATTATTTTTTAAATGCAAAATATATTGTATCTAGCACATATCTTAATTCCATCATGTGATTATATTAAGTATCATTTATTAGGACATGATTGGTAGGAAATAAAATATTGCCACTATGGAAGAAAATGCACATCTTTCCTGTTTTAATAGCCGGCATTTCAAGAACTACATTGAAGGTCAATGTTAAATCTATTACTATTGCAAGGGCAGTGTGAAAGCTGAATAGTACTAGAGTGCCAATATTCTGTCTGGGTTCTATTAAATGGGATTTCAGATGACCTCGCTGTGTCAGCCACTTCTAGAAAATAGGCAGAAATTCTTAAATGCACTTAATATTTAGTTTCCAACTATCATTTTAGAAGAACCATATCTTCAGTTCTGAGTTTTCTGGCTCCCAAGTTAAGCAAGAATAATAAAGTATCATTGCCAAACTGAATTCTTTTAAAATTTCAACAATACAACAAACATTTTCTTTTAGGGAATCATGACCTGCAAGGAGAAGCAAAGCCCTAAGGCTTGACGCTGTCATGTAATTACTGCCTGGAACAGAATTACGCTTTTGGCTAATTCATGGAGTTCTTTCCAACTCAACACAAACAGTTAGATAAACACCTTCAGCAAAAATTGAAACAAAATACATTGTGAACATGTAGCAAGGCTATATTTATTCTAGCAAGTAGCTAGAATAGTTGTCAATATACCTCCATTTAATAATGAGAACTTAGTAAATTCAGATCAAGGGAAAGTCTTCTTGTGATGACATTTTAGGACATACTGTCAGCATACAGCATTAGCAAAGTGGCAACACAGCAGATGTTTGAAGGAAAGATTATTTACACTTTGTGCTATCAGTAGTAGCCCCTTTAAATAAGATTTCTCTCTTTTTTTCTCTCTTTATTCTTACTATTTCCAAAATAAAATTTTATTCTATTTGCGTGTTCTGGTTATTTCTCATTCCCATTACTCTTTCACTTTATTTGAATTTTCAAAAGATTTAACTTTCAATAAGTCAAGGCTTCCCTATATTTCCCTTTACACTTACTTAACTTATTGGTGTCCACCACATCCACACACTTTTATTCCTAGAATATTTTTCTTTTCCTAGAAGTCACTTTACAATTTCATATAACTTGACTTAAGAAAATATTACTACAGGACCCTAAAATAAAGCAGTTGAGAAAAAGAGGTGTAAAAACATTGTGAGAAACCACATAGTAAAAATTGTGGTTATATATTTAGACACACATACACACAACACACACACACACACACACACACACACAGAGCTATGGAGGATCTTTCAATCACTTTTTACCAAGTGTGAGATGTACAGATTTGGGGATAAATAAGGTTATGAATATATGGAATGACACATGAATAGATGAGTTTTCAAAATTGAAAAGCATAGCAATAATGAAACAAGTATTATGTAAATATTCATTGGGAAGTTCAATTTTAAATTTATCACCCCTTCATAATAGTAGCAATTTCAATATGGGAATCAACTCCTTTAAAAAAAAATCTAAAAATTTCTAGAGCTCATAAGTGTTTTCAGTAAATTTTCAGAATATAAAATTAATATACAGAAATCTGTAGCATTTCTATATACTATCAATGAACTCTAAGAGAAATTAAGGAACTGATCCCATTTACAATTGCATCAAAAAGTTTAAAATACTTAGGAATAAATCTACCTGCACAGGTTAAAAAGCTCGTACTGAGAAAACTATAAGACACTGATGAAAGAAATTGATGACTACACAAACAGACAGAAAGATACACCATGTTCATGGACTGGAAGAATCAATATTGTTAAAATGGTCATACTAATCAAGGCAAACTACACACTGCACACAATCCCTATCAAAATACCAAGGACATTTTTCACAGAACTAGAACTAATGATTTTAAAATTTGTATGGAAACACAAAAGACTCTGAATAGCCAGAACGATTTTGAGAAAGAGGAATATGGCTGGAGTTATCACATTCCCTGAATTCAGCCTATACTACAAAGCTACAGTAATCAAAACAAGTATGTACTGGCACAAAAACAGACACACAGACCATTGGATAGAACAGAAAGAATAGAGAGGCCAGACTAAACCCACACACATATGGTCAATTAATCTGTGATGAAGAGGGCAAGAATATACAATGGAGAAAAGACAGTCTCTTCAGTTAGTGGTGCTGGGAAAACCGGACAGCTACAGGTGAAAAAATGAAATAAGAACATTCTCTAACACTACATACAAAAAATAAACTCAAAATGGATTAAAGACCTAGATGTAAGACCTGAAACCATAATACCTTTAGAAGAAAACAAGCAGTACACTCTTTGACATAGGACTTAGCAATGTTTTTGGATCTGTCCCCCTAGGCAAGAGAAATAAAAGCAAAAAATAAACAAATGGGACCTAACCAAATTTAAAAGCTTTTGCACAGCAAAGGAAATCATCAACAAAATTAAACAGCAACCTACTGAATGGGAGAAAATATTCACAAATAATATGACTGATAAGGGGTTAATATCCAAAATATATAAACAGCCTGTACAGCTCAACATTAAAAAAAAACTATTAAAATGTGCTGAAGATCACCTAAATAGACATTTTTTCCAAAGAAGATATACAGTTGGCCAACAGGCAGAAGAAAAAATACTCAAATTGTTAATAAGACAAATACAATTTAAAACCACAATGAGATATCACCTCACATCTGTCAGAATGGCTATCAAAAAAGACCACAAATATCAAATGTTGGCAAGGATTTGTGGAAAAGGGAAACCTTGTACATTGTTGGTGGGAATGTAAGCTGTTGCAGCCACTATGGAAGTTTCTAAAAAAAAAAAAAAACTAAAAATAGATATGATCCAGCAATTCCTCTCTTGGGTATACATCCTAAAAAAAATGAAAACAATAATTTGAAAAGATAAATGCACTCGATGTTCTCTGAAGCATAATTTCCAATTGCCAAGATATGGAAGCAACCCAAGTGTCCGTCAGTAGATGAATGTTGCTTGCAAGTTTGCTAAGCTAAAGGAGAAGATTGTCATTCTGGTAAAAAGCTAGTAAGTTGCTCAAGTTCTTAAAATCTGGTGATGCTGCCATCATTGACGTGGTTCCTAGAAAGCCCATGTGTGCTGAGACTCTATCTTCCTCTGGGCCATTTTGCTGTTCATGACATGGGACAGATGTTTGCTGTGGGTGTCATAAAGGCAGTGGATAAGAAGGCAGCTAGACCTGGCAAGGTCACCAAGTGTGCCCAGAAGGCTAAATTAAAATTATCCCCTATACGTGCCACCCCAGTCTTAATCAGTGGTGGGAAAACAGTCTCAGAACTGTTTGTCTCAATTGGCCATTTAAGTTTAATAGGAAAAAACTAGTTAATGATAACAATATATTGTAAAACCTTCAGAAGGAAAGGAGAATTTTTTGAATCATTTGCTTTGTTTGGGGCAGTTTTAAGTTATTAATTTTTAAAAACAGTACTTTTTCATGGAAACAACTTGACCAAAAATCTGTCATAGAATTTTAAGGCCCATTAATACAAAGCTTAATGAGAAAAAAAAAAAACAGATGAAGGGATAAAGAAGATGTATGAATATATAATGGAATACTACTCAGCCATAAAAAGAATGCAATTTTGCCATTTGCAACAACATGGATGGACTTGGAAGGCATTATGCTAAGTGAAATAAGTTAGACGGAGAAAGACAAATGCTGTATGATATCACTTAATATGCATAATCTAAAAAATAAATAAACTAGAAAATATAACCAAAAAAAGAAGCAGATTCACAGATTTAGACAACAATCTAGTGGTTACCAATGAGGAATGGGAAGTGGATAGGGGCAAGATAGAGGTAGAGGATTAAGAGGCGCAAACTACTATGTTTAAAACAAATAACCTACAATGACATATGGTACAACACAGGGAATATAGCCAAAATTTTATAATAACTATGAATGGAATATAACCTTAAAATTATAAATAACTTTGTTATATACCCAAGATGTATTATTGTACATTAACAATATCTCAAATTTAAAAAAAACTATATATTATTGTCCTCAAGATAACCATTTCATGCATCTGCCAGAACTGTAGTTGCCCATGTCTTGGGTGTATCTTTAAGATGTCATTATGACAGTTTTGGGTCAAAGTTTCTAACATTATATATGAAATAACATTTATTTTTTTCATTGTCCAACAGCTGTTGCACTATTCTGATGTGGTTTGGTTATGTTTAGAGAGCTAAAATGTAATAAGACATTTCTAAACTTTCCCCTAGATCTGATGTTTGACTTTCCACCACCCATTATTTTATAAATGCTTTTCATCATGCCATTAGCTGCATTTCATATCATTATTTTATAAACGCAGATGAACAAAAAGAAAAAAATCCACTGTGCTGTAAGTTCTAACTATAAACAGAAAGCAGAAATCAGTTTTATTTTTGCTCCTAAAGTCTAAACGACAAGCATTTGGAAAAACTGGAGCCTTGTCCTAAGGAAAGTAGGTCACCTGCTTGAAAGAATATTTTTGGCACCTGAGGATTTTACATCACTTTCTGAGCCTTCCTTCAATAAAGACAATTTAATAGCATGGAATGTTACCCTATAATCTTTAACTATTTTATAGGCTTTGGACATGCCTTTGCAAACAATTATATAAGCACTATTAGAAATACTTAATCCAAGATGGATTCACTAATGCAAAGTAACTTTGGTTTATATTTTTCCTGAATTTCAAGTTCTCTAGGACTTTTAGAATGTGTGTGCGTGTTAGAGAGAGAGAGAGAGAGAGGGTGTGTGTGTGTATGTGTGTGTGGACAGTGGCTTTTCACAATATGGAAGATAGCTGTCACTGGGTATGGCTTTTTAAAAATTTGCCTAGCCTTTGCATTAAATGAGGTTCCCAGTAGCTACTGTATTTAACAAGGTTGTCCCTAATTTAAATCATTCACTAAGAAAGAAATTTTCAGAAGCATATCCAGTATGCCTTCATTAACAGATGTTTTCTTTCTGGAAACAAGAAAATGCCACTATATTGTAAATTGGGATTAATAATTAGGATGGATGGATAGATGGATAGATAGATAGATAGACAGACAGATTCTTTATATTTGTAAAACATATGTGGAATACAGATTTCCTTAAGGAATTCTCTCAGGATATAGTTTACAGTTATACTGAAGGTATAAAGAAATCACATCAATTTACAACTTGCATATTTTGCAAAACACTGGAATTTAGAAGAGTCAATTGAGAAAAATAGGAATCATTTTAGCTAACTAATTGTGTGCCTAACTCAGCCAAAACTTGATTAACATTTGCTAAATTGAATTAACAGTAAGTGAATCTATGTTATGTGAAATCTTGAAAGAGGTCTTTCTTTTTTGTGTGAGGTCAATCTTATTTCCACTACAACATCACAAGCAATCTCTCTTTCTCCTAAAAGAGAACATCAGGATTGTTTGTTTCAGTCAGAAACACACACACACACATTTTTTAAATGACTGCTTACAATGCCATCTGACACAATGCTATAGACTAAATATTTGTGTCCTCCCAAAATTCATATGGTGAAATCTAATTCCTACTGTGATGGTATTTGAAGGTGGGAACTTGGAGGGGGTCAGAAGTTCATGAGGGCAAAGCCTTCATAGATGGAGTCCCCTTATAAAGGGGACTCCAGAGACCTCCCTCTCCCAGTTCCTCCAGAATATGAGAAACAAATTTTTGTTTATAAGCCACCCATTTTATGGTAGTTTCTTATAGCATCTGGAATTGACTGAGACACACATGTTAGCACAATACTTTAACGCAAACACCAGGAACTTATTGCTAATAGACAGCCAACTCTCAAACCAAGGTTAATTGTGTTTGGTTTGTTCATCGAAGTTGGACTATTGGAAAAGATTTTAACAAGAAATATTTCAACTTTGGCTTTATCTAGCTTTAGTTTCCTCTTTCTGCAACATGTGGTTTTATAAAGTAAATACATTTTCTAAACTAAACATGTATTATGTTTATAAAATGTTTTTTAAACTAGGCTAAATGGTTGATTACATTTAAAGTTAAGCATTACCAAGAGAGGCAGTAGTTGGAGTAGAATACAATTATTTCAAGCCCTTTGAAAAATAATTAGGGAAGGATAAATAAATGGGATCTTAGACCCGTAACTAATTATTTCCTAATACACCTCCATTAATTTAACATGTTGAAATAATTAAATTTAAAAAGTATTATATTGAAAATTTCTGTTTCTAAACTTGAATACAAATTGATCCTATATTTTTCCAATTTTTTTTTTCTTGAAAGGTTTGTAGTTTGCATTGTACTTATGTATGCTTACTTGGTCAAATTCCTTTTTTTTTACTGATACACTCCTCTAATCTGCCATCCAAGTAATACAAGCAGCCATTCGTTATACCTTCATTCCTTCATTTATTCATTTGTTTGGTTGTTCAGGCAGCTAATATTTATTGAGTGCTTAATGTGTGCCATACTGTAGACCATTTTTTGTTAGCCAGAATCGATCTATAAGTGATCATAGACTATTTGTTATTGTTATTAAATTTATAAGATTAATTTTAAGAACAGTTTATGACAATTTATAAAATTTTGCATCATCAAAATTAATGAGAAATTTAATATTTTTAAAGTTCTAATACCATGTGCATGATGAAACAGTTAGGGATAAACTATACTGATGGCTCCACTTTTTTATGCATTTCAAAGTCAGGTTGATGGATATAAAGAGGGATGGATACATCAATAATTATGTGATAAAGCAAGTGCAGTAAATGGTTCATTGTAGAACCTAGGTTGTGTATTGTTACCTGGGATTTCACGATAAATTTCTTCTAACTTTTTTGTTTGAAAATGTGCATGATAAAATGTTAGAAAAAGCAGGAATTCTATGCTCTTTATATTGAACATTAATGATTGTAATTCAGTTGTTTCAAAGAAAGAAAATTCTTCATATGCATAAGAATTCATGAGGCAGAAAAACTTCAGGAAAAGCTGGATTTACACAGTGTATCTGAATGTGGCTGTGATTTTAAAATCATCATTATGAAAAATAATGTGAATTCTGTCTATGGGTTTTTGGACCAGAACTGCACCATCTACCTCAGGAACAGCCAATTTCTAGGCCAATCACAATTTCAGACACCAGTGGAAGAGAAGAGGTAGCAGTGAGCCTGTCTCTGTTGAACTTCATTGGAAACCACAGCAAAACAGCATAAGAATGAGTTAGCATGGGGGTAGATTTGAAGTAAAGAAAAAGCCAAGGACAGTTCGTGGCAGTGAACAGTGAGCCCTGCCACGTGGAACTTAACAATTCAACATGGAAGGCATAGTCATTAAACAAATACTAAAACTACAAGAATCATGGCAGGTAGCATTCAGTGAGATGAGGGAAAATTGCAGGTTTTATAGGAAAGTAAAATAAGGAAGATCAAATTAGACTGGGACTTCAAAAAAGGTCTCAAGATGAAAATAATTTGCCCTTGGGCTCTGCTAGTGGGCAATTCACGGCACTGAATTTCTCCTGCAGCTCATCTCTGCTGAGAGCAGTTGATAATTCCAGTCCTCTTCCCCTGTACTCTGCTGCCTCCCCCACCCGCCACTACCTTGTATTTTTCTCACTGGACAACACATAAAGTTTAACAACCATTCCAAGTTTCCAAGCTACATAAAAATGTGCTATACAATAGATTTACAAAGCAATTGTAGTAGGGAAGAACACATCTGACTCCATGTTAGATCTGCTCCTTTAGCTCTAACCCTGTGCTCTGTTTCCTGTGCTTAGTCATGCTGGTTCTGCACCTTTTGTGAAAGAATGTTGCTTAGAGCCTGAAATATCCAGGATAGCCTATTCTCAAGGCTCTGACCTTTAAGAGTATAACACTCTCCCATTCACATAAAGATAAAAAGTTGCAGAATAGAAAATGACATTTGTCTAGTTGGAGGTTGACGGGGACACCGTGACCCAACCTATGTGTACAGCTGCAAGCACAAAGGATTTGAAAACCAAGAAGTTTGCAACAAGCAACCACACTCCGTCCCCTTTTTAGTATAAAAGGAGCCTAACTTCTGGCTTGGGGAAAATGGTTCTCCAGGATGCTAGTCTGCTGTCTTCTCGGTCTGCTGGCTTTCCAAATAAAGTCCTTATTCCTTGCCCCAGTACCTCGTCTTCCAATTTATTGGCCTGTCGTGTGCAGGGAACAGAACAAATTTGGACTCGGTAAGACAACTACTTATCAAATTGCTTTTTCTAATGGAGTCAAGAGTTTTCGACCCTTTCTGCACACAAGTTTTGCTTAAGATCTTGTGTCCACATAGTATGAATTAACAATAATATTGAGAAAGCAGTATTATCTAAAGCTAAGGAACAGGGCTGAAGTATTTTTCTGTTGACAAAGCATTTAAAAATGCCAACTATCTACCTACCTAAATAACACAACTTTAAGTGTTTAAAATGTTTTTTTTGAGAAGTGGACATTCATGACAAACCCTTGCATTTGCATAATGTGCTCAAAAAACATTCCTAAAACCAC